ATGGTAATTGTTCTGGATAGTGCTGATGGTAGGTGTTCCGGATAGTTCTGATGGTCTGTGTTTCGGATTGTCCTGATGGTCTGTGTTCCGGATAGTCCGGATGATCTGTGTTCTGGATAGTCCTGTTGGTCTATCTTCTGGAGAGTCCTGATGGTAGATGTTTCAGAGATTTTTGATCGTAGATGTTCCGGATAGTCCTGATGGTAGGTGTTCTGGAGAATTCTGATGGTCATTGTTCCCGAGAGTCCTGGTAGTAGGTGTTCCAGAAAGTCCTGATGGTAGATGTTCATATAATACAGATAAACGACATCTCTTAAGCTGTATTGATTACTAAGGGGTGTCATCTCTAACTCAATATAGACTTAATTAAACAACAATTATAATATTGCTACACCGACGAGTCTTGATAATAGGTGTTCTGTGGAGTCATGAAGGTCGGTCTTCCGGAGATTCCATGTTCCAGAGAGCCCTAATGGTCGGGTTCTGAGGGGTCTTGATGGTAGGTGTTCCTGATAAAAGGTATTATGGGAGGTCTCTGATGGTAGTTGTTTCAGGAAACCAAGATTAGTGAAGTTAAGTTACACTGCAGCCAGTGTTGTACACCCAAGTAGGCGATGTGTAACTGGATGTGACAAAAATCGTGTATGATACTTTCTTACTACTTTTTTTCAACATCAATAAATAAATACATGGTTAAGTTTCATCAAAATGGGATGGAAACCTAAACCCCGAATGATCGCATTTCATAAAATACTTTGGTTGATGGCCTTAATAATTATTGTGGCGACAATTTTGTTCGATATTTTCATGTAGTGGGTGTATGTAAAGTGCCAGGTAAGCCCAATGCATGTACTTGTAAGGTAAAGATAAAGGCTGGTTACATTACTAAATACTGAAATTTATGTAAGAATATTCACCCTTGGAAAAAGAACCGGGTAAGTTGAAGTAGGTTATCTCCCATGTATTAATGTTGCGTTTGCATATATAAGGTGAAATCCAGATTGTGAAAAGATAGAAAAAATACCTATTATTTGATTAAAATTTTCACCGGAAAACAATAATAATTTGATTTAATTTTCGGTATTTATTAAGATAGCTTGCCAGGCAAGGTAATATACGCCTACTGGCAGCTTTGATTTTAAATAAAAATATTTGGCAGTATATTAACAATCACCAGTATAAAATATTCAAACTTCAGACATACTTTATAATATTACCAAATTTCATCAAAATCTGTCAAGAATTGGGCCTTCTAAAGTGTTTGCAGGCTAAAACTGAAACGCGTTTTTAAGAACAAGGGCAATAACTCATACTAATTATTTTTCGATATTTCTGATCTTCGATAGGGTTCATCCTTATATGATTACAAACACACCAAGTTTCGTCAAAATCCGTCAAGAATTGTGCCTTCTAGAGTGTTTACGTGCTAAAAATTAAACGCGTTTTCAAGAACAAGGGCAATAACTCAGACTAAATAATTTTTGATTTTTCTGATTTTTGATAGGGATCATCCTTGGGTGATAACAAACATTGACACTTAGTTTCATCAAAATCTGTCAAGAATTGTCCCTTCTAGAGTGTTTACAAGCTAAAATTGAATGAGTTTTCATAACAAGGGCAATTACTTATACTAATTAATTATTTTTCGATTTTTCTGATTTTCAATAGGGTTCATCCTTGGGTGATAACAAACACTCACACCAAGTTTCATCAAAATCCGTCGAGAATTGCGCCTTCTAGAGTGTTTACGAGCGTTTCAAGAACAAGAGCAATAACTCATACTAAATATTTTTCGATTTTTCTGATTCTCAATAGGGTTCATCCTTGGGTGATTACAACCATATCAAGTTTCTTCGAAATCAGTCAATTGTGCCTTGTAGAGTGTTTACGAGCAATTGTGGATGGACAGACTGACGGACGGACATGGCTGACAGCAATATAGGCCCCCCCATTTCATGTGGGCGTACAAAAATAGAAAAAGAGACTTATTCTACAGCAGCAGAGGCCATGGGACTAAAATAACTGTCCCAAATATTACTGATTTCAATACATTTAAAGTTGCTTCTACTGTCTATCCTCATTGGGATTTTTGGTGCATTTTACTAGTAAAACTGACCAATAAGTGCAAATTTTATTCATGAAAACTGTCTGCCTTGTGTTCCCAAAGTCACAATCACTGAACGAAAATAGTAATTATTGAACAAATCTATGATATTCCTTATTTGAATATCTTAATGTTTGTTAATTGTCTAGCCTGCTATTTTAAATGCATAAAACATAGTTTTAACAGTTTTATTTCATAATAAATTACACAGTGGCTTCAGCACTAATTTCAATCGGGGGTATCTTCTGTTGTTTTAGTTTTTTGGTTATTGTAGCAAGTTCATTGACTAATCTAAATTCTTGTTCTCTTAAGTTCTTGATTTCTTTTTGACTTGACTGAAAAAAAATAATGAGAAAAAACATCTAAGCTTTCTGTAAGGCAATTTTATGATAATCATGCACTTACTCTAATTCACAAATGAATTAATAATAAGTTAATAGTTATCTATCACCTGTAGTTAAATATAAGCATTTATATACAGCAAATATATTGTTAATAACAATTACATAAATATAAGTAAAAACTTACCACATTTTGTCTTAACAAGTCAAGTTTTTCACATTTTAATTTATGTATCTCAGCCTTCAGAAAATCTGTTTGTTGTACACGGCTGTTATCATACACACCTGTAATATCATTACAAATATTTAATTCTGCTTGTGCGACATTCTGGTTATTGCTTGATTGAACAGCATTATCATTTTAAGAACCCCCAAGTCAGATATTAAAACAACTTACTGTCAGCACCAGTATCCATGTTATCTATAGTAAATACACATTTACTATCACCATTTTCATTGTCTTGTACTGTACTAGGTACTCTCGTACTTGATGTTCCTATTGATAACTTACTTTCCTGAAATTATACAATAGAATGATTACTAAATCTTAACAACTTAATATGTGAACATAATTATTTCAAAAGAATGGGTGTGGAAAATATGATTTTGTTGTCTGAATTTGACCAATGATTCTCTTCATCACTATTTAACTTGGCATTTATCGGGTACACCCTACCTGTATACCCTGATAGTTTTGTTATCTGGAGTCCAGATCCAGTTTATATAGGTTACACAGAATAACAATACTTGATGTGGCATGATCTCTCTACTGTATAACTTGCTTGGTCCAGGATGAACTAACCTGTTATTTTGAATTCGTTGTATGCAGCAATGGGCAGATTTGGACTGACATACTGGTCAATATACCAAACTAATTTACTTACCAATCCACTGTCTGAATCTTGAGTAATACCAGTATCATTATTACCATGACTTTTCTTTCGTTCATGTTTATCAATAGTATAACTATAGGATGATATAGAATCTTCAATACTGTTAAAACTACTCTCCGAATTAGATGGAGATAGCTGAACACTATGGGTATTATTTCTGTAACAAAAATGATATATTACATCTACCCATCTAGCCTGACTAGAAAAGGAAGGTAAATGAAATGAATGGAGTTTTACATCCTACTTTCTGTGAATAGAGGAAGGATGTGCATAATAATGATAGCTGATATAGGTAAGAGAAAAGCTCAAGGTTGTTTGTCCTAAAAAATTAAAAATAATGACATCATTTGCATTACACAAATCAGCCTATCAGTTTAAGAACTATTTGATGATAAAACATTACTGTGAAATTGGAGTAAGAATGCATACAGGTTTTCTAAATATGTACAATTACAACAAATAATACGTTTCACAAGTAAACTTAATGGTGGACACTTGTCACAGAAACTTACCTAGTTCTAGATGACATGCTTCCAGGACTAGATTGGGGACTAGATGGGGTACTACAAGTGGCATAAGATGAATTACTGCCATCCAACCTGCTCCTGAAATAAAATAAAAATCTATCTAATATAATACTACAGGTAATTGTGATTTTTAGGGTTGATCTTGGCAGAGGTCAAGAAGGTGCCTTGACATATATTAATCTGATTATCTGATTATATTGTCAGTGATGCCAAAGGAGGAGTTGAAACCTCTTGTTGGACAGATTGAAAAAAAAAAAACAGTGACACAATGATCAACAGGTGGTGCTCCTTGAAGATGCCTCCATAACAGGCTAAATACCCACATTGCACATTCCATTGGTTCAAACAGAAACAGAAATGTAAGGAAATATAATTGTATTTCACTACTGTAAACAATATGTTAAATGACTAGGTATACATTATCATTTGCCACACTAAATATTATAATCCTTACCCCCTTTCTGCTTTTCTTTCAAGACTTGAAAAATGATGAGCATTCTGATTACTTGTTGGAGATTTCTTATTCTAAAAATAAAATTAATATCTATCAAAAATGTTTACAGATGCATAAAAAATATGAGCAAGAAAATGTTGTAAAAAGGAAAGCTTCAGTAATTCAAATTCAAATCAAAGAGAAGTTCACATCTCCCAACTCCATTATGATGAATATATCCTTACCTTTGAACTTTTCTCATGTTCACCAACAGTTGGCAATGTGGAACTACCATTTAATCTTCGACTTCCAGATCCAGACAAACTGGATTCAAAAGATTGACTTCTGCCTTTTCCAGAAAACGCTTTCTTGACAGAATCAAACAGACGGCTTCCTTCAATCTTACTCCCTGTTAAAATTGAGCCACCAAAGAGTTCAAAATTTCTCTTCTGTAAGTCTTGATACAGTGAGTCTAAGAGAGAGGACCTGGTTCTTTCCTAAAAACAATATTATGATTAAATCAAAATAATAATAATAAAAATATTCTGGTGAAAAAGGACATGTAATTCATTTTTCTAACTTCATGACTAGATGATTTTTCCATGGCAGCCCCTGCAGCACTGACAGGAAGAAACATGACGCTAATGATTCATTAACCACTCCACAGTCAACATAATATAGTATTGTTACAATTTCGGAGTCTTAATATGAAAAGTCTTGACATTGAATCTTACTTACCCCCAACTTAGCAAACTGCTCAGCATGGTAACTGGCCATTTCAGCATTAATTAACTTAGTTAGCAGGAAATCACGAAACTCTGGACCTTTTTCAAATACTGCTGGATTGGGAAGATCGGGACCAAATTGTGGAACATCATTTCTTGCCGTAACAGACACCTAATGAAAGAGACATATTAAAAACTTTCATCCACCGTAACTACATTATCAAAAACATCCTTTATAATTAGTATGATCTGTATTAGAGTCTTTAGCTTGTATATATTATAGTTATAAAATACAACCTACCTTATATTTAGTATGATCTGTATTAGAGTCTATAGGCTGTATGACTATATTATATTATAGTTATAAAATACAACCTACCTTATATAGAGTATGATCTGTATTAGAGTCAATAGGTTGTATGACTATATTATATTATAATTATAAAATACAACCTACCTTATATAGAGTATGATCTGTATTAGAGTCTATAGGCTGTATGACTATATTATAGTTATAAAATACAACCTACCTTATATAGAGTATGATTTGTATTAGAGTCTATAGGCTGTATGACTATATTATATTATAGTTATAAAATACAACCTACCTTATATAGAGTATGATCTGTATTAGAGTCTATAGGCTGTATGACTATATTATATTATAGTTATAAAATACAACTTACCTTATATAGAGTATGATCTGTATTAGAGTCTATAGGCTGTATGACTATATTATAGTTATAAAATACAACCTACCTTATATAGAGTATGATCTGTATTAGAGTCTATAGGCTGTATGACTATATTAAATTATAGTTATAAAATACAACCTACCTTATATTTAGTATGATCTGTATTAGAGTCAATAGGTTGTATGACTATATAAGAATGAAGGAAATGAGATGCTATCATATCAGGAACAAATGGCGTATTTTCTTCTTGAAAAATAATGGCGACTATGTCGTTTCCAATATGTCTTTTACGTTGAAGCTATAAAGAGTAAATAACAACATGATTAGAAACATGCTATCATACCAACAACATTATACATTTATATTTTCTATAATTTATATGGTTAATCAAAATAGAATGCTAATATGTTAGCCAATTATAATTTCAATTATACTAGCTTTAGACTAAAGTTAAATACATTTAAAGAAGCATCTAATCCTACAGCATAGCAAAACATTTAAAATCATTCTATTTGTAAGTATTTTTCGTCATTTCAGTTTGACCTCATTCTTAACTAAAGTTTCTAACTCAAATATAAAGCTAGCTTGCCAGGCAAGGTAATATACGCCCACTGGCAGCTTTGATTTTCAATAAAAATATTAAGCAGTACAGTAACAATCACCAGTATGAAATATTCAACCTTCAGTCATACACTTCTTTTGAACTCTTTAGGCCGATACTGAATAATATTGAGTATGAGTTATTGCCCTTGTATTTCAAAACGTGTTCAATTTTTAGCTTGTGAAAACTCTAGAAGGCAAATATTCAACCTTCAGCGCGGCACTTAATTAAAAAATCAAATTTTAACAAAATCTGGCAAGGATCATGCCTTTCAGAGTTTAAGAGGTAAATTTTGAAAGCGGTTTCAAGAACAAGGGCAATAACTCATATGAAATATTTTTCGATTTTATTGATTTCCAATAGGGTTTATCCTTGGTAAATAATGCACTCACACCAAGTCTCGTCAAAATCCGTCAAGAATTGTACCTTCTAGAGTGTTTATGAGCTAAAAATTGAACTCGTTTTAAAGAACAAGGGCAATAACTCATACTAAATATTTTTCGATTTTTCTGATTTTCAATAGGGTTTATCCTTGAGTGATATATCTCATGCCAAGTTTCGTCAAAATACGTCAAGAATTGTGCCTTCTAGAGTGTTTATGAGCTATAAATTGAACGAGTTTTCAAGAACAAGGGCAATAACTCATACTAAATATTTTTAGATTCTTCAGATTTTCAATAGGCTTCATCCTTGGGAGATTACAAACACACACACCAAGTTTTATAAAAATCTGTTAAGCATTGTGTGTTGTAGAGTTTTTACAAGCAATTGTGGATGGACGGACGTGTTTAAAGGCAATATACGCCCCCCATTTCATGTGGGCGTATAAAAATCACCTGTTGTGGATCACCATCTGTATGGGGTAACATAGTAGAAACATGAAACATGACTTCACGATTCTGATAATGAGTATATAATGATTCTTCTCCTGTCTGACCATGTAGCGTATCTAAACCACCTCGAAAACTACATCAACATCAATTACAAATTAATATATTGATTTCATTAAATGCGGTTTTCCACATAAAAAACAAGTTGTATATAATCTTCAACCAGCTACATAGACTAGGTGGAAAAGATACATGCTTGGGTGTTGTGGTTTCAGGTCACTATATTTGTAAAAATTTGTAGAGGAAGTTACAAAGTTAGGTGACAGACCTTTTCTGAATCACAACTGACTAAAATATTTAATGAAGATCAAAATATGTCACCAGAAAAAAATTCAATTCAACCTTGAATTTGAAATATTACTATCATTCATTGGTCCATAGACTTACCCCTTAAAATACTGTAAAGAAACCTTTTCACCAATTAAATCTAGAAATTCTTCCATAGCAGGACTATGACTAACATTACCAAATAATTCTTCTTCTGTAGTCTATAGAAATACCAGAAACATATTTCAAATTCAATGATTTACTTGATGTTTGAAAGACAAGACAAAAATAGTCAAACAAAACATTAATAAAATAATACACATAATATATTCTATCTTGAAGGAACGGAATGACATTAGTTCAATAGTTTTTCTATGTTTATTACCAAAACTCACAGCCCATTTCTAAAGAAATGAACAGCGTACACGAATAGATAATTATTTCTAGAACTGATTGTGTATTTATACAATATATTCCTACCTGACCAAATTTCTGGTATATTATTCCAAATTTAAAAGTACTAGTTAACAGATGCTCATCATATAATACAATTAATTCAGAACCCTACAAATAAACATACAAAACACTTGAATAATACACAACATTTCTACATATAATATTCATAAAAACCAACAATATATGTCAGTTATTACAATCACATGAAGTACAATGAAAAGCTGGTTATCAGAGGGATGAAACTATACCCTACATATTCTAAGAGCAAGTTCCAAAACCAGATAATTCTCAAAATAAACACCTAATGAATCTATTAGATTTCTTGGCCCATTTGAAAGGAACAAAACAGGTCAATTCTTTTTCCCATACAAGTCTCAGCCATTTGGTTCAAATTGTGCTTGATCTGCTGATTTTGTAAATGCTAAATGATTTTATATATACCTTCATAGATAATACAGGATAGAATTTCTCTGTAGATATATCACTGAACACAGTCTTAAAAAACAAGCCATTATAAAGTTGAATGATATAACAAATAGTAAACACAAAACATTGAGAACCAGGGTTATCTAGTGGATGTTGGAATTCTATGGATTTCAATTGCTAGTTTTTGATCTACACAGTATACTAATTTTAAAGATTCTTTACTGTACGATTATTAAGTTGACCCATTGATTTGTGTCCTACATCATTGTTCATTTATGCTGTTCTGTCAATGAATTCTGGCAAATTTAACAAAATCAACAACCCTGCATCATTCACATCTGGATAACATCAGGCAAGAATAATCTACAAGTAAATGTATCAAAATTTCTTACCTTAGCTATTTTAGCTGGACTAGGAACTTCTATTTTGGAGGAAGGTAATATTTCATGATGAATAGTGAACCTTGTTCTGAAATAGTAAAATATTCTTTAACATAACTACAAAACAGTACTACTCTAACTACTTCATCTCATGTCAATAAATTATATGTTCTGTTTAATACAGGCTATCATTTAAAAAGAATTCTGACATATTCCATAGTGAGCTCTTGCAGTGATTTTGATAGGCTAGCAAAAACTATATAATGTCAAAGTTAAAGTGAATCTAAAGTAAAACAACTCAGGTCAGTTCCAGAATGAGTGATCTAGCCTGTAGAACAAGGCATAAAGAAGTATGTATACATGGGTACTCGAATCAGTCTGATCAATTTGTCATGAATTTGTTATTGCTTACATATAAATTTGGATTTTTAGAAAAATAGCAACCTGTATTTTGAGTTAGTGTCAGTGTTCAAACTTACCTCAATATAACTCTTATTGACTCTTGACTAGCTTCTGCTTTAATAGACATTACTATTGGACCCAGGTTTTCATCAACAGCATAGTAATTAAAGTGTTCCTACAGTATATCATGATATACAAATAGATATCATATAATAAGATACATTTTATCATTTAGACTAATATAAAAAAAAATTATGCAATTTTCTGCAATGAAAGGAAATTGTAACTTTATAATTGAATAAAAAAAATTTAAATCAAAACATAATATCAATATCCCCATCTTTTTTTAATTAATGGTAGGGAAAATTTTATTGATGTCTGAAGAGATTGATTTGCAGTAAACATAAGTAAGCTTATTGATATTCAGTATATGTATGATCTTTGATTATATAGTTTCATGTATGTAAAATGATCATTATAATTAAATATTATCAAAAATTGTGCTGCACATATCAGTAAATCATATAATATCTCATTCACAGTCATACAAATCATACTTGGGATGTTAAAGATAGCTTGCCAGGCAAGGTAATATACACCCACTGGCAGCTTTGATTTTGAATAAAAATATTTAGCAGTACAGTAACAATCACCATGTATGACATATTCAACCTTCAGTCATACACTTCTTTAGGGCGATACTGAATCATATTGATCAATTTTTAGCTCGTGATAACTCGAGAAGGCAAATATTCAATCTTCAGCACGGGACTGAATAATGCAACGAAGTTTTGTCAAAATCCAGTAAGAATCATGTCTTTTAGTGTTTAAGAGCTAAATTTGAAAGCGTTTTTCAGAACAAGGGCAATAACTCATACTAAATATTTTTTGATACTTCTGATTTTAAATAGGGTTCATCCTTGGGTGATTACGAACACTCACACCAAGTTTCGTCAAAATCCGTCAAGAATTGTGCCTTCTAGAGTGTTTACGAGCTAAAAATTGAACGCGTTTTCAAGAACAAGGGCAATAACTCATACTTAATATTTTTCGATTTTCTGATTTTCAATAGGGTTTATCCATGGTTGATAACAAACACTCATGCCAAGTTTCGTCAAAATCTACCAAGAAATGTGCCTAGAGTGTTTACGAGATAAAAATTGAACGCGTTTTCAAGAACAAGGGCAATAACTCATACTAAATATTTTTCGATTATTCTGATTTTCAATAGGGTTCATCCTTGGCTGATTATGAACACTCATGCCAAGTTTCGTTAAAATCCATCAAGAATTGTTCCTTCTAGAGTGTTTACGAGCTAAAAATTGAACGCGTTTTCAAGAACAAGGGCAATAACTTATACTAAATATTTTTCGATTCTTCTGATTTTCAATAGGGTCCATCCTTGGATGATTACAAACACTTATACCAATTTTTTTTAAAATCCGTCAAGAATTGTGTCTTGTAGAGTGTTTACGAGCAATTGTGGACGGACGGACATGGGTGATGGCAATATACGCCCCCCATTTCATGTGGGCGTATAAAAATTATACAAACTTGTTATAAAATATATCCTGTTTCTTAATGAAAGTAAATGATCACACATGTATTATGCTTTATTCCATGTTTACCTATGATCGTGTTCATTGTCATATCTCTTTAAAATGCTATACTCAGCTTACCTTTCCAAGGAAATATTTTCTATAACATATACTGGTTTCATCTGTTTCTATAGAGAATTGTCTGTGGTTACATTTACTATGGGTATTGTCTTCAATCCAATAGTTTAATCTATCAGGTACAACCACCATAGGATATGGTCCAGGTTTCTTTAATATCTACATCAATATGAGAGAATTGAAAAATTTTTTCTTTTAAGCCTTTATCTTCTTTTGTTTCTCTTTTGCTTAATCTTTACTTTTATCAAGAGGATAAACCAAAGTTATCAATTATGTGTTCCTTTACTTTTATCAGAATCTCATTTATGTGCAGAGAAGTACCTTTATGTCTACCTTCAAGCTTTAAACTATATCGTATTGCATTAAGCAGAGTCTTTCTCCGTAATTTCTCTTTAAACTATTAGTGTGCACTGATTAACATTGTCTAATTTAAAATATTTATAAAATAATGAAATAGCAGGATGAAATACAGAATATTAGAGTGAGAAATTTTAAAAATCATAGTTTGCTCGTAAAAATATTCTGTATTCCTTTAAGTTATTTATATAAAACTGTATATTTATCTATTACAAATGTATTTATAGTTGTGGTAAATACAGCTCTGGGTAAAATTAACCTTATAAATAACAATCAGATCTTTACGTAATTACATTAAATAAAGGAAAATAGCTTGTAATACAAGTAGAGCTGACAGCTGAACATCTGCCTTCATGATCAATAAGCTAGCCAATAACTAGCTATATGTGTTTTGTAAGAGAAAATTAGACCAAGAGATTTATACTTGCTAATAATTGGACAAAAGATCTCTGAACTATTGTTCAATTTAATATAAATTATTTACGCATTCATCAAAGAATGACACAGTGTAAACTCACTTCATGATGCACATACAAAAACAGATCTACAAAGAAGTTTTACAAAGTGCCAATTCATTTGATGTACAAATCAATGAGGTATCTAGTCAATACTGTTACCATTAGGTTACTAATTTCATGTTTAAATAAGAGTGAGATCAGACCATACTGAAAGGCTGTAAATACCCATAAAATGTTAGCTTCATGGAGTTTTTAACATTCTTCTTCTATTTTGCTTTTCAATTTTTCAGAAATGAAAAAGAATGGAGTTTTCATGAAATTTAGGCAAAGCCATGCAGTGGGCAATCTGAGGCTATCTCAGAGTCAACAAGTTTCACACTGTTCCATTGTAAAGTCACTTAACCCAAACAGTTTGGTAATTACCGATCTGCCCTTATACTTACTGTACATGCAAGTAATTTCAATTGAAAAATTTTTTTAACACTTTATGACAGCAAATGAGAAAAAAACAATAATCGAAGTTATTTTCCTGTCAAAGTGTTTTTTGATAATTAACTGAATATGTCAAGTTGTGAAATTTATTGATTTGTCAAGTTGAAACACTGCAGATTAAAATTGTGGTCAAATAAGTCAGTGCTATATATTAGATATATCAGTGTGTCTGTGTTTATCAAAGTAATTTAGTGCGTTTTATGATGCTAGAATGAGTAGAACGGTATAATTATTTAGGGTTACAATCAGGATATCCAGATTAACATATGAGTGCCTGTTTCGTGAACATCGCAATTATCTGATTAGTCAATCATTCAATCGATTTTGAGACTAAGTTCATCAACCAATCAAATTAATTCAATTCTTAAAAATTTGAGTTCATCCCTAATTAGCACAGAATTTCATGTTCTGAAATATATCATATTAAACCTATTCATTGTTTCTATAGAGATAAGAGCAAAAGAAGGCTTTTTGGTGGAATTTGTAAGAAATTTCATTATTAATTTACCACTCATGGTTAACTGGGTATCTGGGTAAATTATAGCACCTTATTTAATGTCCTCCAGTTTTCAATGGCACAATATTGGCCCAATCTTGTGAAGCTATCTATCAAATGTATCAATGTTTTGCACACTTCATCCACTAATTTTGTCACACAGAAAAACGCCAGCCTGTCTTTTCATTTGTCCTAAAGATATAATTCTCATAGAACAAAGTAATTAAAAGAGAATTTACTTCTATCCCATTGAATCATTCACTTCTGCACATGACATATTGCTTTTGTTAAATTCAGTAATGACTGAGTCAATCTTAACTTGTCTAATACAGAAAACAAGGCTTACATTTTGAATTAAACTGATTTCTTTTACAATTCTTTCTGGTTTAGGTTTAATCTGAAATATAATACATCATCATAGTTTAAATAGTATTCAAATGTAGTTTTTCAAACCATAATAACTAGTTAACTTTGTGAAATACTAATTTTGCAATAATAATGACAACTACAGTCTGACCATTTTCTTTTTAGAGTCAACTCCAAAATAGTACTGTGGACAATTTTAAATAAGTGTGGTTAACAGTTCTGGACTTATTATCTATCATATCATATCTACTAATCACCTCTGATGGTGACAACTTTACTTTTACATGATGTAGTTCAAATTTTATCAACTGATCATTGGATAAAATTAATAGTTGCCTTACAGCACTATGTCATCACTAATCGTTAAGAAGATGCGGATGCATTCCTGCAGGCAAAAAACATCTTTAGACAACTTGTCAATGACTATCACAAGGCTATTAAAGCCATTTGTCATAAGGAATTTTTTTTTGTATTTAAAGCATATAAATCATAAAACTTAAAAAAGGCCACCAGAAAAAAATTCAAAATAGTTGACTCTAAAATGAAATTGTATGTAAAGAACGTTTTCTGCCTGTACATCATGTGTAAGAGACCTTGACCTTCAATATTGTCTGTACAACATGACAAAAATATATTCACGTGAAAACTGTCTTTAAAAGACACTAATGCTTGTGAAAATACAACATCCAGACAATAAGATACATGTATATAAACAGAATTATCACACTTTCACTGTATATATTATAGCCATAAAACATATAATACACTTTTAATACCCATTAGATGTTTCAACATTACATAAAACAAAATATATAGCTTAGAATGTCTTTGATAATAGCCATTATAATAGAGGCTATATTATACATGCTTTATTTAAACTGTAGGTCTGCATTGATTTTCTCAGATGAAAGGTCGAAAAAACATGTAGTTTGAATATCATACTGTAAGCTCAAAGAAAATGCCAATTTTAGTATCAAATTTGGAAAAATCTCCCGACTTTTCACCCAATCTCCAGATTTTTCAAGGCAAATCTCCAGATTTTTTTTCCTGACCTGTACACATGTATGGTATCAATGACAGAATGAACACAAGACAACTTTTTCACAAAATATCCATTAATTGTATTTTCTAAAACTCACAAATCTGTTTTTCAATAATTTGACATGTCACTTGTACAGGCTGAAGGTTAATCTGAGGCAATTTTAGAATTTCATCTGAATTATGAATAATGACATAAAAATTTAGAATTGTGTCTGGCATTTTCTTAACATACAAAAATATAAAATAACATGCAAATCCCAAAAGCCAGTTAACATATAACATGTAAATCACAAATAAATATTTTTAACTTATTTCACACAAAATAAAACTTTACACACTCTAAATGCCACTGATAGGCGAAGAAACACCTGTATAGACTATGATATGAGACATCTTTTGATTTACTCTCATTTGTTTCAAATAACACAAATTTTTGACAAAATAAAAAGCAAAGCTTCTGAAAGATACATTCTGTAGAGAGCCCCTATTCCCTAGCCTACATCCTTGGTTAATATATCAGAGGCCAATGGTAAGAAACAACTATAACTGTTACATAAAAAAAAAAAATTTGAATTTGAATAGACCATCAAAACATCCTGATCTGAAGATTTATTACCACAACCATCATCATATGATTAGGTTGTATGATTTATATAGCAACATGCTACAGACTCTTTTAACATTAGTAAGATACAATACAGTGCATGCTGTTGATATAAAAGAAGCTGGACACAAGAGAAAAAAAAGACCTGTGATAGACTGTGTAGAGAAGGTAAAGAACATCTTTGATCATCCAGACGGGCGCTTTGGTATTTCAATAGCGCATCAAAGAAATCTTGATCCTACAATTCAAATTATTTTATTTAGTGAACTTGCAATATGCTATCTTTGATATTAGGATATAAAAACACTGCTTGATTTACACCCAATTCCATTTTCTTGTTAAATAACCAAAAGGTTTAAATATAAATAAGGAATCAAAGTGAGTTTTGTTCTTGGTTAGCTTATTGTCAGATTTTCTCTTAACAATAATTTAGCTCACAATATAAATTTAAAAAAAAATACTTGAATATAAGTAGACATTTTGTCATGACATGACAAAGCTCACAGAATCATGTTAAAAAATCCAAAAAACTTTCTCTTTGTATATTTGTACACAGAAGAATTTGAAAGATTTGTCCAGAATATTTTTACAGATAAACAGAAACTTGAAAAAAGTTTTCAATTTCCATAAATATGACATGAGAATTGAAACAATATAATTGTATTTCTTGATAATATAATAAAAATACATACTTTATGAATACAATGAATTGCAATATATTAAAAGTTTTAAAAATTTATTTTCTGGCGTTTTATTCTATAAAAGACAAGATTAAACTTGTAAAAACATATATCTTATCAAGACAATTATATATATTAAATTATAATGTATATTTAGAATGACTTAACCTTGATACAAATCGATTTAAATTTTGAAAAGTTGACCACATTTTCAAGACAAGCTTTACTGATGAGGGTTTTATGGTGGTCTCTAGTTGATGATTTTATCCCTTTAAAAATTTAGAATAGGGTTTATTGTTTCAGAACTCTGATATGAATTGAAGAACATTAAGTATAATTAGTTAGCAATAGCATATCATGTGCTACAATCTATGTTCTAAAAGGTTGAAAAAAGACATCAAGGCAAACAAGTGCTTTACTTGCAAGGTTAATAGCCCATGTTTCTTTTATCTTGATTTCTGTGGTATCTAACTTTAATTACATGTATTTGTGTATTGAATCAGACCCTGATTTGTAGAAATATATTGGTTTGACTATGAAATGTATGTCTTATTATCAGAAAAGTATAATTCATTTCAAAATCATAAATATGTTTGATTTCAAAAAGATAAACTTATGTAACTCTCACACTAAATCCTGCAATTGGCTTCTGAAATCAAATTCAT